AAGGGAAGTCCTTGCTTCGTCTGCATGAGGCCTTCCTGCGGTGGCGAAGGTGTCCGCACATTTGTTCTGTATTCAGGTCGGGGCCTTGGTCACCCTGAAGCCGGAGGCCTGTGTTAGGGGCGCTCTGTCACCAGCCCGTCCTTTAGGCCGTCTCTACGCGTGGACTGCTTCCCGGGGGCGATGTCCACCCACAGGGCCTCCCGCGCTCACCTCTCCCGTTCTGTCTTCTCCCTGCAGCGGCGCTGATTACTACGACTACGGCCACGGGCTCAGGGAGGAGACATACGATTCCTACGGTGAGTGCGAGGCCGCGGGAACCACGGACAGAGGCCTGAGGGGAATTCAGACAGGAGGACAGGGCGCAGCCGCCCGCCCCTGCCTGTGTTCACATCCTGGGAGGTGTAAAATCCAGCCAGGAGGGAGCCTCGCCGAGGACGGCGGGAAGGCGGATTCGCACGGGGGTGGGGGGCGTTCTGTCTGGGTGATGTCCTGGGTGGGTTTCCTCCCTCATGGCCCAGCTGGCCGCCTGGCCCCTGTTCAGATGGGCTTCTGGGAGTGTCTCTGTTCTTGACGGAAAGGGACATGAGACCATTTGGGAGGACAGCCCCGGAGTGACCCTCCCACCCATCCTGATAGTTCAATTCGCCCCCAAGCCCCAGGTCTCTGAGCACCTCACAGAGGAGCCACTCTGTAGGGGTGACAGGACCCCGAGCCAGGAAAACCCAGGCCCCAGCCTCTGCGGGCCGAAGGATGACCAGTTTAATTGAAAGAATTGGCGGCGGGCACATCATGATGGGCGGGAGCTCCTGCGTCGCCGGGCTCAGGGCTCGGAGGACCAAGGCTGCAGTCACGGCTGCGCCCGGCCCCTGGGTGCGCACCGGGCTCTGGGTGGTGGATGTGCTGGCGTCTGTGGACGCCCCTGCAAGGCCGTTTCCAGGCGTTTCCTGTTGAAGCGCCTTCCTCCCATCGCCCCCCCAGCCGCGGTGACTGCACCTGGGATTTTCACTTTTATATTTTGATGATTCGGAGCAGCCGCTCGAGAGAAGCACCTTGGTCTGTTGAACGCCGTGCGGTTAGGTGGATGCAGTTAGCGGGCGGGGGTGACGCTGGCTGCATGTTCGTGTCAGGCCTTTTCCTTGGCAGCTTTTTAAGGTGGTCTCCGGGCCAGGGGGCGTGGGGTGCTGGGGTGCTGGGGTGCAGGGGTCACGGCTTGCTGCCGAAGAGGTCCTATGGCTGAGCGGTGTGTAACTTCAGGCAGAAAGACGACGGGATTCCCCTGTCATTAGTGCCGCTGTCCCGTGTGGATTAGTGTCACATGCGTTACACGTGGCGTTATGCCACTGACTTCCCGCACAGTCATGAAGTGTGACCGAGGTGAGCCCTGCACCCAGCACGGCTCTCACTCGGCCCTCCCCTGAGACCCGCGAAGGGCAATGCGGCGTTTCTCCACCCTCGTCCGCCCTCCCCGCGTTCCCCTCCAGTTGTTCCTTCTGCCTCCACATGTCTTTTCTTTTTTTAATTTTTGGTTTTTTTTAAATATGTTTTTATTGATTTCAGAGAGAAGCATCAATGATGAGAGAGAACCATTGATCGGCTGCCTCCTGCACACCCCCTACTGGGGATCGAGCCCCCAACCCAGGCCTGTGCCCTAACTGGGAATCGAACCGTGACCTCCTGGTTCAGAGGCCGACACTCAGCCACTGAGCCGCACCGGCAGAGCCAACGTCACAGATTTTTTTCCTGTGTTTTCTTTGTTAGAAAAAAGTCTAAGCCACCCTTTCCCCAGAGGAAGGTTCCTGCGAAGTCGGTTGCCACGTAAGATACAAAAATCGCTTCTCTTCCCGCACAGACGGGTTTCGGTGATGAGATGACCGCCTTGCGCTGTGTGTGTCATTTTTTCTCGGTGAATTCCCGTGGGTGTTTCTCTGGGCGCCTCGGGGCTGTGTATCTTAATATGACATTGCGGTAGGTTCAGGGCCGAGTCAGATCCTGCAGGACGAGGCCCGCGGTTCCCGGGTGATGGTCTAATTGTGATCTGTCTGCACTGGTTTCAGGGCAAGAGGAGTGGACGAACTCAAGACACAAGGCTCCCTCGGCGCGGACAGCGAAGGGCGTCTACCGAGACCAGCCGTACGGCCGCTACTGATTGTACTGACTTTCTGATGTTGTGAAATAGCCCATCTCCACCCGTCCTGTAAACTGTTCAAAGTAATTTTTTTCTATGAACAATCCCCTTTTTAAATAAATCAAAATGCCTAAAAATCTGAATGGATGGACCTTAAAACTACTTTGTGGAAACATCAACCTGGGAAGAAAGAGAAAAAAAATTAAAAAAGACATGTAAAATTTTGTTATTTCCAGCCTGTATATGAAAAAAAAAATAGGTCATCAAAAGGAAAAAAACACACACAACTTTGATTAACTAGTTTTAAACAAAAAAATAGGTTTACTAAACATGTTAATCCATCCTTTAACATACGCCTCACCTTTCATTTTAAAGGTTTCCATAGAGTTTAGTTATTTTATCTTTCAGCCATATGCCAGTTTTTTTTCCCTCACGTAAAAAGGGAAGCCAATTACAAGTGCAAATACTGTGGTATTCTTTTTGTAACTCCAGTCTTGAAATGTTCTGTAGTGTTAAGCAAACTTTCCTCTTGCTTGATACTAAATAAACTTTTGAAAGAAATTTTCCTGTGTGTGTGAGCTAACAGTTTCATGCTTTTCGTACTTAAAAAGGCTTTCCTAAATAGTTGTAAACAGGGAGAGAACTCACTTAACGACGGTCCTCATAAAAGGATCACACTAAACATCGTACGACTTTAAAAACGGTATAAAACTAAATGCGTCATCCTAGAGCCACTCTCCGTAGACCTAAACGCTGTTTAAGAGTCCAGGGGGTGTCCGGACCAAAGCTCGCTTAAACGCTGGTTTTAAACGAACGCCTGAGTTTCGGGGGAAGGATGTGATCCGTTCTCATCTTGTCGAGCGTTTTCTCACTCACTAGCGCCACTTTGGATTTTTTATGAGAATTTTGGTGCCTTAATGCGCTCCTCGCCCCGTGTCGGAAGCCAAAAAGCCCACGCTTTTAAAGACATTGACTAAATGGGGCCGCCCTCGCCAAGGCCAAGGATGTGTGTGGCCCTTAAACGGTCTTCATTGCCAAAGGTAAATAAACCAAATAAGGTCTTAATCTCACTTAAGTTATCTTTAATAGAACGACTAAAACCAGGGAGCTTACAACGGAGGGAGTTGCCCTAGAAACCCCAGATGGGTTTCCCGCTCACCTAAATGCTCAGTTTAAAAAGTTTAATTCGTCTTAGTCATCTAAAAAGCCGCAGCTCAGCCAGTGTAACGGGGGCCAGTTATTCCCCTCTTAAACCAACGTAAAACCTCATAACTAGTTGTTTGTAATCCATTCTTTGGTTAGTCACTGAGGGCATGACTTAACACTGACAACTATTTCATAAAGTTATTCTTTAATCTTTTGGCATAAGTTGTCTTTAAAATTGTAGCTTATGAAACATGAAAATTTAAATTTTGTTTTAAATTTCTTGAGGCCTCTCCTTCTTTTGACTAAACAGGTGTTTTCTCTTGTTAGGAGACATGGGCCGTGTTGCGAAGCCAAAGGAACGCTGGGCCCCATCGCCGAGCGGGTGAGCGTCTCCTGCCCGCGGCTGTGACGCGTCGGAAGATGGCAGCCATTTCTCGCCCATCTAGTCGCATGGGCGGTGCCCCTGGCCGGTGCCTCTTACCAGCCCCGGCGACGCGGCAGGTTAACTGGTCCCGTCGGAAATGAAGCTTCTGGAGACGAACAAGCCAGACCTGCCCAGCTTTGTTTACACACTCCGTTACTTTCTCCAACAGAAATGGAACAGCCTAGCCCGGCCAGCGTGGCTCAGTGATTGAGCCTCAACCCAGGAACCAGGAGGTCAGGGTTCGATTCACGGTCAGAGCACATGCCCAGGTTGCGGGCTCCATCCCCGGTGTGGGGCCTGCAGGAGGCAGCCGATCAGTGATTCTTTCTCATTGATGTTTCTATCTCCCTTCCTCTATCTGCAGTCAATAAAAATATATTTAAAAATATATATGTACCTAGCCTAGTCAATAACATGCAAACATTTTACAAATTATTAAGTGAAAGAGACCTGTATGATAGGATCCCAATTTTACTTTTTAAAAACGGTGTGTCCTCTCTATCTTTGTAGGCAAGAAACTGCACAGAGTGATGGGAATTTCTTACAGTCATCATGTTGGGCTTGTGGAAGTATGATTATGTGTATGTGTGTGTGTGTGTGTGCGCACGCGCGTGTGTGTGATTTTCAATTCTTTCTGAAATTTGAAAAACAATCACTTTTATACGACTGTTACAAATTTTTAAACCTGGGCATCTGGGAAGGGAGGTGGCATTCACGAGGCCTGGCTTCAGAGAGGCTTGTTTCCGAAGCGCCAGGAACACTCCTGAGGCTGACACTTGGGACCTTTTTAAAGTGTTCCTGTGTGGGCTCCGCCCGCTGCGTGGCCTCGCTCTGGGGCAGCGCTGTGAGCGTGAGGCCTGGCCGGGGTAGATGCTGGGGGATGAAGTGAGACCCGTTACCGGAGGGACCTGTGACCTGGAAAGGGACCTACAATGTGACGCCGAGTCCTCCAGGTTGGCCACAGATAATTACTACGTGTGGGACATCCCCGCGCTGTTTCCAGTCGCCCCCAAACAAACGGGGGTCGCCTCCCAGTTCTGCATAAAGAACTGTCTTCCCCTCGCTGGCTGCCTCTCACCTACCAATGATGTGGCAGGAAATGACGCTGCGGGAGGACCTGCTGCCTGTGTCCCCGAGGCCCTCCCTTGGGGTCTGCTTGGGGGGAGCACAGGCTGTCGTGGAATCATGTCCTGAATCTCCAGAACCGGTGAGCGTGCTCCCCACACGGCAGAGAGGCTCTGCAGGTGTGACTCGGGCCTGGAGGGGAGGTCACCCGCCCCGTCCAGGTGAACCCGCCCTGGTCACTGCGATCCCTGTAAGAGGGTCAAGGTCGGAGGAAGCAGGTGTGAGGACAGGGCCAGGGACGCTTTTGGAAGATGGAGGAGGGGCCACGTGAGCCACGGAACGAGGCCTTTCCTAGAAGCGGGACAAGGCCGGAGAGGGACCCTCCCCTGGAGCCTCGGACAGGAACACACCCCACTGCCCCCACCTCCCTGAGCTCAGGGAGCCCCGCCCTGCAGGTCTGCCCTGCGGCGCCTCCGGATGATACATCGGGGCTGTGTTAAGCCACTGAGTGGGTGGCAGTTCATTACGGCCGCCATGGGAAAGGGACCCACACACCTGAGACCACTTAGGGCCTTGATGTGAGCTGAAGAGGCCGGGCGTGGCGTGAGGCCTGGCTGCCTCCCTCTCCTGACTCTGCAGTGAGCTGGGAGGTGCAGGTGGATGAGCGCCTCATTTCCCGTTTCCCGGTGTGTTCCTGCGGTTACTTAAGAGAGAGCTCAGCAGGAGTGGCTGGACGGGCAGGGCGACGCCAGGGGGACTTAGTCTGCGTTTCCTTTAAACACCAACAGCATCTCCCATTCGGGGAGGGGCAGGCGCCGTCTCAGTGCCTCTCGGGAAATGTGCGGCTCCTATTAGCGATGCGATTGGGTTCATAGGCGTGGGGAGAGTGTTATCATTCCTCTTATTTTGTGCTTTGTCTCACTCCCCGTGAAGGGATTTGGGGGTGGTTCCTGCAATGCGTGCGCGCTGCCCAGTAGGATAAAAGGAAAAGAGGAGGGAATGGGGGGGAGAAGCAAGTGGGGCTGAGGCATGGAGATGCCACCGGAGGAAGGTGAGACTGGAAGCCTGAGATGTGCCCCTGAGCCTCCCAGGAGCCAAGGCACAAAGGGACTGGGCGTCACTGGAGGACTCAGGTGTCCACAAGTTACATCCTCCGGGGAGAATAGGGGCAGGGGCCATGGCGGGGGCCGAAGGCAGGAGGGTGGGAGCCAGGAAGCCTACCGGGAAGAGGCAACACCTGCCTCTCATCCTGCCTCTCATCTGGGGCAGCGTCTGCCTGGGAGGCACCTTCAGGTCAGGCCAGGCGTGTGCTCACGGCAGTCTGGCACCTGGCATTTTCGGGGTTTCCTGCTGTGAGAACACCTCCCTGCTCTCCCACAGGCTCCCTGGCTGCTCTCAGTCCCCTCTGCTGCTCTGTCCTGAGGACACCCAGCCCCCTCTCCCTGTGCCCATGGATGTGGGCCTCCCGTCATCACGGGTGGAAGGAGGGGCCCACCGGGTGCCGGGCTCCACGGAAGGTTTTCACGCCTTTGGGCCAATCATGACACACCTAGAGGTGACTCGGGGCTGGCCGCACGTCTGTGCAGATGAGAGAGTGGCCCCCGAGATGCTAGCTCGTCTCCAGCATCACGCACTGCTCCCCGCCCCGCTAGGAGCCAGGCCCGTTTCACTGTGGATGATGCCCACAGTGGGGCCCCATCTGAGATGGAGGAGATGGCGGAGAGAAAGGGGGCCCATGAGTCACCCCGCAAAGAGTGACACCCAGGAGTGCAGCCTGCCCCCCTCCTCCCGGCTGAGGCTCTCTGG